GCCCTTGTATGTTTGTATCACTAGTACGATTTGTGCAGCTAAGAAGTTAAACTGTGACCCAAGACAGAAGAACTGAGATTGTGAAGTATTAGATTCATATTGACTGAGAAACTACAAGTAGAATAATACTAAATATGCCAGCATTGGAAGCTCACTAGTTTTTTTGTGAAATAGGTAATTTTGAGATTCTTTTAAATATGAATCTAATAATCTCTTGAGGTTGAGGAAAAAAATAAAACATTTCCATCCCCACCATTAAAAAAAGTGACAACCTAGTGAAACTTAAAACCAATTGTTTAAATTCCAAAAGAGTAACAGGATTGGTTTGGAGAATTAAAAAAAGAAAACAGATGTATTATGAAGTATTTTTTTAAATGCTAATTCATGAAACTTTATACTACATAATATTCATGGTAAGGTAACACAACATACATTTTCAGAATTAAATGTTAGCCACTTTGGTCTAGTGATTAAGATACAAAGCTGGAAACCAGGAAGTCATGAGTTGTAGTCCTGCCTTATCCATGAGAGACAACTGGGTGACCTTGGGCCAGCTATTCTCTCAGGTCAATTCACTTCAGTGTGGTTGTTGCAGGGAAAATAGAAGAAGGAAGGTGTGTTGGATATGTCCTCCACATTGAGTTATTTATAAAAATAATAAAGACGGGATACAAATAAAATAAACATTATTATATTGAGTCATACTCCTGTGAGCCTGAAAAATTATGTATATTCTCAAAATTCTTTATTCACCATGGAAAATGGACATTAATCCATGTTAAGTCTTTGCATCCAAGACTCTTATTTCATTGTCACCTTCCTTTCACTAAAAGAAATTGATTACCTTTTCCTCGCAGAAGATACAGAATTATAACTGGATTGGAGAAGACACTGCAATGAATGGATGAACTTAGTGGGATGAAGCTCAATCTGTAGTCAATAAAATAAAAGCAAACCAAACCGACCAAACTCAGCACAGACAATGCAGTATGGATGCAGTCCAGTCATAATCACAGATGATTATATATTGAGCATCTCTATGGTGAGAAATTGGGAAACCCTGACTACTAGGTATTTTAGGTATGAAGCCAGCTGGGTGACCTTGGACCAGTCACTCTTTCTCTCTTTTTCCTAGGAAGACAATTGCAAGCCACTTCTACATACCTTGCCAAGCAAACTGCAAGTTTGTCCAGTCACCAGGATTGTATACAAATGTAACTTTTTTCTCTAAGAACTCAATGGAGCATTTATGAATGGAATAATAATAATAATAATAATCTTTCCCAATGCTGTATCTACAGCTATGATCCTATAAGGTAAGTGGGGCTGATTGGCCAAAATTTATCAAGAGAACTTCATAACTGAGTGGGATTTGAATCTAACTAGCTCAGGCGCAACACCTTACCTCTCCACTCTGCTAATTGTTTTAATTATATATAACAGTACAGTTGAGATTGGAAAATCCAGAGTGGGGTGTTGGTGAAAATGGGTGACTAGAATTGCCAAGATCCAAGTCTAACTCAACTAGGCTATTGACTCACTTTCAGCCTGCCCTCTCTCTTCCTCCTCCCCATCCCCCTATGCCCAGCCTTGACCTACTAGCTAAAGTCATCATCCAGCAGGACGATCTATACTGTACAGTAGGTCTTAAGCATTCCGTCCATGTTTCAAGTACTATTGGGGAAATAACACTGTGTGGTCCTCCCATTGCTCTTTACTTACTTGATCCAGGTCTGGTGAGCACCACCATGACTATGGTGAATCCAAGAGAAACCAGGTGTGCAACTGCACCAAATACAGTCCTGAGAGAGTGGTAAATCTGAGATTCCGTTTCAACTGTCAGAGCCATGTCTTCTGGAAAATGAGTAATATGTTGGCCTGCCACTGTCCACTAATTATTGATCTTCTGTGTTTATGTACAAAATATATCAAATGCCTCAGAACATCAAAGTGAGGGAAAATTCAAGCAATATTGTCTTTAAACAAAAACAATCTGCTTCAGGCTTCTCATGCTTCTGTCAATTATCCTGTGTGAAAAACATAAAGAGATTATATTAAAAAGGAGCAAAATAAAAGCATTGAAAAACCCAAGGATAATATTTAGTCCTCAAATATAACCAAATAAAATCCTAGGCTGTCAAAGCAGAGCATTTTCAACATGGATTTCCCATCAAAACCTGGGATTCTGCCAGAAAGGAAACTAAGTTTTAGATATTTTTAGGCTCTTAATGTCATGTCATATCATAAAATGTTATAATTCCAATAATTTAATGTCATTTTTCCCTCTCCTTTTTCCTGTTCTCATTTTATGTGCAATAAGCATATGCTGACTTTTGAGGGTTGGATGTAATTTTTTTGTTGTTGGGGAAAGGTTTTCTAAACTTTAATATAGGGTGGGCTTCAGATTAAGAGGGTTTTGTTCCCTCTAGGAATCAAACCGACTAAACACACAGCACTCAAACTAAACCTAAATGTCTGAAGGAAGCCTAAATACACCACTAATGCTGATCTAGCTCCATTGTTTAGATTTGGGGGAGATAGTATCAGTATTGCAATATATAAGTACAGCAAGCTGCTACAATCATTTTCTCCCGCTGTCAACTTCAATTGACATTCAGAAGTATGGGAAACACCCCTGACAGAGATTGGTACTAAACCACAAACCAATACAGACAAGCAAAAGAAGGGAAGCACACAGCCATGGTTGATACATAGGGATAGGTAAGCCCCAACAGGCTTCCTTGTGATTAATTTAACCATAGTTTAATTTTAAAAACCCAATGTCAACAAATCACAGTAAGCTAAAATATGGATGGTTACTTTGTGGTTCAGCAGGAATCATGTGAACATAGCCATTAATCACTTTTGTTGTATGTGTGGGAAGCAAAATATCCACCTCTTCAAACTGAACTCAACCGTCATGCAGGCCTGTTGATCTTCCTTTCCGGGCCCTTTTCAAAACAAAATGTGGTGCAGCACCTTTTTCTATGAATCATAAGCCAAAAAATTTCATTCTATACTTCTAGCATAACAATGTACATTTCACTGCTAGTACACCACCAGAGTTTTTCCTACAGAAGCCTAAAAAATTTAAAACATTACTGTTTAGTTTCACTACGAAATTATGATTTCTTGAAGAATAGTCTGCAGTATTACATTCAACCTTCACTACAAGTGTCCATGGAAATGCATCTCAATCATATGCTATGAATATGTTTGAATATGTGTCCAGGTTAAAGAACACAGCATAGCTCATGTTTACATCTATCATGCTGCCCATCTTCATTCCTCTGAGCAGCATAAAAGTAGATGGCAAACATTTGAAACTCTGAAAAACAAAATTTCAAGACAAAGCTCTTGAACAATTTGTTCAGTCATAAGCACCAATGGAAAACACCAGTGAATTAATTTTTACAGGTTGCAAGCTGTATTACTGATCTATTCACCCAATTTTATATAAATATAAACATGAAAATAATTTTTCCTTTGTTCATATTTACTGTTGTTAGGTGATGTTAATTTGCCTAAGACTACCAAGTGTGTATCATCCTGAGACCTTTTCTGGCATTGCAAAATCCATCCATTAAATTGTTTGCACCTGAAGGAATAGGCAAGCAATTTAATCATATATGCATGAGTTTCTTACAAATTTTCATAGTGGAAACTTGTTAACTGAAAATTACAGTTCTAGATATCCTGTAACAGTTAAGGCTACTTTGGAATCGTAAATTTACAATATGCAAACTCAATTTGCCACAAATTTGCTTTACCTATGGAGATGTCATAATAAATGAAAATACCCTGAGTGGAGAATTAAACTCTAAGCTTTGTAAGAAGGTGAATCTATAGTGATATAACTTTAATTAAATAAAACCATTAAAAAGAAATGAGACTGAAATCAAGAAATTTGGCTGATTTTAAGGCAGGTTGACCCTAGCAATAGACTTTCATATGATATTTCATTGAGGTATGTCTAACAAATAAAACATATAGTTTAATGTACTAGCTTAATGGCTGGCTTCCTACAAGATGCTGAACCACAAATAACACGACCCTCTTTTAGCCTAGGCTGTTCTGTTCTCTGTAATATAGCATTAAGGCAAAGAGACAGACGCCACAGCCTTCCTTTTCTTTATTTCAGTGGCAAGGCAAGACTCCCTCTGAGCATTTTGAAAAAGAAGACGAGGGCAGCCTGCACTTTGATTTTGCACCGCGTATCTTACGGGCACAATCGAAAGTGGAGGTGGCTGCTGGAAGAAAGGAAGGAAACACGAGAACCTAACCTATCTAAAGAGACACACAGCTCTCAGGACTCCGTCCAAAACGACGATACACCGTTTCGAGAATCATTTCGGGGAGAGGCAGAGAATGTGCCGATCTTCCGCCTAACCTGATTTGACAGCACCAGGACACACATTCTCCTCGGATAAAGCAGCCCTTCCCTACCTCAGCTTTGCCCACCCCACATCTTGCATTGCAACTGGCAGAGGCGATAAGGTCTGTAGTACAAGAGATGTGGAGAGATGCCTCCACCAATCAAGGACTGTATCTAGGTTTCTTCTTTCCAGGATAATAAGCGTGAGTTCCCGGGCTGCTGTTCCACAAAGGCATTTCAAGCCCTGGAAACCCCAGGCAGATCCCATCCCCTTCGGGAGATCTGTCCTAATCCGCCCACCGCGGATTTTTCTAAAAGCATCCCTCTCCCAGCTCCATCCAACTGCCTGGTGGGGGGGGGGGGGGGAGTCCAAGGAACTCACCTCCGCCGAGAACAGTAGCATCGCAAAGGAGCATCAACTCTGGTGGAAGCCAAGGAAGTATCTGATGCCTTTTCATTGGGCAAGTCTACCCAGTTTGTCATGTGTTCCTCCTACCCTGGCGGCTGGTCTCTGCGTCTGAGAGGCTGAGCCGCGCTGTCCATCACCGGGGAAACCCTCTCGAATACAGCTAACTGCGCGACACGTGACAAGCGTTGCACGGTCGTACCTACCATTCTTGCCTTAGCTTTAGAACTGTATTGTTACCAGCGGGCGAGGTCGGCGAGCACGTTGGCGCGCGGAAATCTGCAGGAAGGGTCTTTTCTTCAGGGCCACCGAGACGCACGCGCTCTGAGATCGCTGTTTTCCCCAAGCTCTTTCGCTCGCCCGGTTGGAGTTAGCCTTGCACATGCGTGCTTTGCCCGTGCTCTTCCGTAGGAGGTAGGTGCAGAGCCCGTGGGCTGGTCTTTGGCTACCTGAGAGAGAGAGGAAGAGCGCGTGTGAAGGCTCCCGATGCTTTCCTTCCGTAGGCACACTATCTGGCGGGGATTTTAGGAGCTTACGTGAACCCAAGTCTCGATCGCTTACTATTAATTCAGGGGACTGGGCATTAAATAGGCCTTTCTCGAGCAATAATACCCTTTAACTTCATATAGGCAGTTTGATTATTGATTAAAGGCAAGAATACTGTTTGATCTCTAGGTTTCTTCCACTACTACGTCTTTTCCGTCAGCTCTTAAAAAGACAAATGCTCTCTGCCAGAATTGTTAGAACTGGTTATATTTAAAGAAGTGCGGACTGGCTTGTAGTTAATGAACTAAAGTAGTGATTTTCAATTTGGCAGTTTAAGATGCATGGACTTCAACTCCTCAAATTTCCGGGAGTTGAAGTGTCCACACTTTTTAAAGTTGCCAAGTCTGAAAAACATTGAATAAATTGATGGACTGTGGTAGATTAATCTCCAAGTACTGTAGTTTAGAAATTTGGGCACACGTAAATGGGAAGATTAACAAAGAAGTTCTAATGAAAGATAGGGCACCTGTTTTCAGCCAACTTAAAAGATTGCTAAATACAGTACAAAGCCATTATCAGCATGATGGATAGAGTGGGTAGACATATATCTACTGCTATCATGGGATATTGTCCTGCCCTCTTTTGGAAAATATGGGCCTTTGGAAATAGAGCGGCTGTTTGTAGATACTCTTTATAGTACAGTATTTATAGTATTCCTATGCTATCAGTGGGAACCAAAGAGTGAGAGTGCTAGGGGCTACCTTCTGTGTTGCTCAAAACAACAGTTTCTGAATTGCATTTCACAAAATGCACTGATTACTCCCTCTGCTCTTTCTGACTAGGGGTGACTCTCAGATCTTAACAGTTTGATCTGTGACTCATTTAGTCTTGAATGAACAAGAATAATTCAGCAGAGTTCTGGTTTGTACAAGATTGTATATAAATCACAGACAACTCACATCCTGATTTATTGTAGTTACACTAGTAAAATAATTCATTCAGTGTGGTAGTTGTGCCAGTCTTCCAGTGATAAGCTAAAATTATGCAGAACATAAGCTTAGTACTCAGGTTACATATTCAGTGCAGGAGGTAAGATTAACCTATTCAGGGTTAACCTACTTTTGTGGAATTTGTTCCATATAAAAATAGGGCAAGTTCTTCAACTGCTGGCTCAGGCCAGAAGGGTTCCCTGCGGCATCATAGATGCTGGCTGTGACTGTGAGTCTGCTCCATTCTCCTTTTTGTCGTAATTGAGACTAGAATTTCTGTCACTAAGTGATGCAGTTGTAAAGTGAAATATCATGTGACTGCATTGCTTAACAATGGCAATCCTGGCATACTCTGCTGCCCTTGTTAAGCAAGCATTGTGGGTCACTAAGTGAATCCCTCTCTGGTTTGAAGTTGGCTTCCCAGGAACACATGTAATTGTTGCTGTTGCACTGCCCTTTATGTTGTACAGCATCTCTCATGGCTGAACTGCTGGATTTCATTACTAAGCTGGTAACTGAGACCCTGAGGCTACAAGTTCTTGGGATATCAATTTACCAGCTGGTGATGTTCTTCTTTTTTCCATGTCTAGATCAAACTTTAGACTGCCAGAATGAAGTCACCTTCTTGGTTTTGTTGTTAGGCAAAAATAAGTTATTATTGGTACATGCTTTTGGTACTAGCTGACCCAGAAGCAGATGGGCCAGCTCTGTGTTTCTCCGCATTCACACAGCATGTTGTTTTTCACTAAAAGTCTTCACTTAAGCATATTGCTCTTATTCTTAGGCACTCCAACCCTCAACCTATTTAGGGTCCTCCATGTAGTATAAGGCAGATCGCATTCTTCAGCCATATTGTTATGCCTTGTTCAGTGGTCTCCTTTCTCCATCTTTCAATACAGTTTTGTTCTTGCATACCCTTAAGAATGTTTGTTCTTGTCATAAAGCTTTTCTTAGACGTGAGTCAGCAGGCTTGGAGCATATGTCAGTTCAGAGAATATCAATGATGTCGAGCCACCATGAGAAGCATAGATCTGTCCCAAATCATCATGAACATGGTGCATAATTAGGTCTGGATATTGTCTTGGGGCAGATGAGATGTAATCTGATTTTGGAGGACATTGATATTAGTCCATTGCTCTGGTCAGATCACTAACAGAGCCTGTTAGATTGGTCTGCCCCAGATGACTATTGGACCTGGGTTATTTAATCTCTCCAAAAGGTGGGCAACTTTTACACTGCCTGGAACAATATCTCTGCAGAGATTCATGCAGCTCCCACCCTTATTATGATGTTCAGCAAATTATTTAAAACCAGGTTGTTCTTTCGGACCTTGGGATAGAGTGGTTTTGGAGTCTCCTTTAGTTAATGTTTGGTTATAGCTGAGTATTTGTCCTTCCAGTTGGCCACGATTTATTTTTTCTTGTTTTAATTATAAACCACCCAGAGTCATCAGAGAGTCAGCTGGCCTTGAAATTGGATTAAAAAAAATAAGAGTGATACTTCAAAAATCTTTTTCTCCAAAAGTAGCTTTCCTTTCATTTCAGTGTATTTCATCTTTTTTCAGTTACAACAATGGAAATCAGCAGCAGAATTGAGTGTATATTTTTCAGTGAATTCCACCCAACCCTGGGACCTAAAATAACATATCAGGTCAGTTGTGCAAAAACTACCTGTCTCGTTTGTTATTTTCTGCTTTGATTGGCATCAGTGGTCCAAGATTTTAGATTTGCTCTTTACTATTTTTGACTGAAGTTGAAACTAAGACCAAGGAAAACATAGTACTTGCCATTCATGGGGGACCACCTTTTGTCAGGATGTCTTTCATAAAGTGTATCAGAGCTCATTTTGCCTCTGCTTGTCTATTTTTATTTCTGATTGTGCATTTTATTTTTGCAGTGGTAAATAGTGTTTTTCTACCTTTGTTTGAAATATATGTTGCCCTAGCATTAAAATGGTATTGTCCTAAAAGTCAAGATCATTATTTATTAATTCATTTGTCTATTAATTATTTGCAGTTCTGTCTTGTTCCTGCAGGTACCAGAGGATTTTATTTCCCGAGAGTTGTTTGATACAGTGCAAGTATACATCATCACCAAACCCGAACTCCAAAATAAGCTTATCACAGTGTGAGTATTATGCAGGAACCCTGTAAGAAAAGCTTTACTTGATGAAGAAATACAATTACTCAGTATTTTGAGTGCTGTAAAGATAATTGTTCTCTTTCTCTTCTCTCCCCTGCTCCACAAAAATCCAGTACGGCTATGGAGAAAAAGCTTATTGGTTGCCCAGTTTGCATTGAACATAAGAAATACACCCGGAATGCCTTGCACTTCAACCTTGGCTTTGTTTGTGACGCTAGAGCTAAGACCTGTGCACTGGAACCGATTGTGAAAAAATTGGCAGGTTACCTTACTACTCTGGAGGTTAGAGATAGCCTAAATATGGTATCCTTCATTTCTGTTCTCATGTGTGTACAGATTTTTTATTATATTTTATTATACTTTATTTCCATTTTTTCCTAGCTTGAAAGTGGTTTCATTTCCAATGATGAGAGCAAGCAAAAATTGATACCCATCATGACCATCCTACTTGAAGAACTGAATGCTACTGGCAAATGCACTCTGCCTATTGGTATTTTCACCAAGCATATTGTTACAAAATATATTTTGGAACAGAGCATATTAAAATTCAGGCTAGTGAGTCTTGGGCAGATAAGACCGTGCAGCACTTTTAGAAAGATGGACACTTATTACTGTATTTAGTGCTGCCTTCTTCATATCTATATCTCTCAATATGAAAAGGTAAAGTAGATAAGAATATGATTTTGCTCAACAGCAGGAAGAAGTGGTAAGTGAAATTCTGTACCGATGTTCTTGAGCATACAGTATACTGTAGTTTCTATTTATTTGTTGGATGGGAAGGGAGATGTCATTTCCCAAAGCAGTCTTCTCCAGCCTAGTGCCTCTACAGTTTTCAGCCACAACCACTGTTTAGATCAAGGGTCCACAAAGTACCAAGAAGAGTTGGATGTTGGTCCTTTGAAGGAAGTTCTTACTATTCTTTACAAATATACATATACTTTATTAATTAAATTTATTTTCCTATACTTTGGCTCTTATAAATTGACATGCTTAAGGAAAAGACACTAATTGTCCTTGGGGGTTTTGTATAATTTGAATATTCTCTAGTACTAAGTGCAACATGCTGTAAGACAATAAGGTGAGTAGGCTATACTGTAACACTATCCTATTGGTTTGGACTGTTATTTACTTGGGTTATCCGATTACCCACTGGTTTGAAAATTGCTGTACATTCAACATTAAAACTTAATCGTGGTTGTAATGTGAGCACTCCCGTTGCACACCCAGTCCAATTATGCCCTATAAAGTAGGGCCTATTATTGTTGTCCGATGTATTTCAATTCCAGCAGGCCTGTTGTGATACTATAATCTTGCAATGAGTTAACCATTACCCCTTTTCATAGATGAATCAAACACCATTCACCTGAAAGTGATTGAGCAACGTCCAGATCCCCCCATTGTACAAGAATATG